CACTTAAAAACAATTGTGTGTTCTGTTTGCTCTGGTTCATCATGCGCAAGAGATACAGATTTGAATAATTAACAAAAAATGTAGAACATATCAAAACCTTCAAAAGCTTTATACATTACTTTACGGAATTCTGTTGATAAAAAAGCTATGGTTATGACTTTATGTTTGCATGGAGAAAATCTAAACAAATATCGTATATTTTTTTTCGAATTGAATTTATAATTCTTTTTTTTTTGAATTTATGAGAAAATGATCACAAACGTTTTTCTATGTGTGTTATCCCAAGAAAACATGTGAAAAGTTTCATCAAAATCAAACAGGAATACCGTCCAGCATGTGCAAAATACTTATTTACCCTTGTTTTTACAGACGGCGTTTGTTCAAAACAAATTTTAGTTGTCATCGAAAGAAGCCTTTGGCACTATTTAGCAGTTGATTTTCTTCGTGCTGGCGTTAGTTAGACGTTGGTAGAATTAATCGCAATATGTTATCATCAAATACTGTCGCGCTACTTCAAACTGCTTTTTCTGAGTGATCACTACACACCAAATTTTAGTTTCATTAGCAGTAAAACGGTTTGCTGAATCATGATCAGCTACAAAAAAGCTTTAAGCTGGGTTTAGACAGTGCAAGTCAATTGATCAAGTCAGTTGAATTCAACTGACTTGAACGCGAATTGAACGTGTAAACCATGCCATTCAACTGACTTGATCAACTCACTTGAATTGAAAAAAGTTGAACCAGGCTCAACTTTTCAAGTCAATTGAATTCAACTGAGTTGATAATTTGACTTGCCTAGTATAAACCCAGCATTACTGAAGAACATCAAACGATATTTTTACCGTAAAATTCAGCTAACATAACGGGTTGGTGGACACCCAGTAAAAAGCAGACAATTTGTTAGTGTCACAGTCGCAAGTATTTGCATTCGTACGGTGCGTACAAACTACCGAGGAGGATGAGATAAACAAAACTACAAACATATCAAATTATGTTGGTAAGAGCACTGGCAATAATAAATTTTAATAAATTATATATAGAAAAGACCCTGGCGATTTTGTCTTCATTATTTGTGTATTTGTATCAAAAATATTTAACGATTTACTGAGTTTATTCAGCAAAATGCTGAGAGCTGTTAGAATTTTTTTAGTACTGAAAAAGTTAAGAAATATTGCTGAAATTTTTGCTGATAATCAGTAATATATTGTCATTTTGACAGAAGTTGGAATTGCTGGAAAATTATTCTTCTTCGCATTTCAAGCTTATTGCACACCGCATATTAACTTATTGCATGCTCTCAACTTAGTGTTCTAGATGCACTTCCACAGTTATTAATTGAGAGCTTTCGATGCCTGTACCATTTTTGCATTGGTATTATTGTGTGGCAAGTCCAATCATACTTCTATGCCCAGGGAACTCGAGAAATTTTCCAACCCGAAAAATTCCTAGACTGGACCGGAAATTGAACCAAGCCACCTCCAGCATGGTCTTGCTTAGTAGTTGTGACTCAACCCGGGGACAACTTGACAACTCCAGTATATTGGCGTTGACGGCACCGTCGAAAAATTTGCTCTTTCAGCAAATATAGACAGTTTCTTATAGGAATTTTCGGTGGAGTGAAAGGATAGTACAAAGTCCGCCATGTTTCACGCACAGTCTGACGTTTGCTTATGGATTTTCTCATAGGAGTAAAGAGCTACAGAGTCGCCGTCAACGCCAATTGCCAGTGTACCCCGACAATTTGGTGCTGGTGGTTCTGTCAAACTCACAAGTTTCACAAGGTTTATTTGAATAGGGCGAATGCGGAAATTATGCACACCAAACCGGAACGCGCGTCCAACGTCAAAATCACATTAATGACATAGGAAGTCCAGTGATGCCAGCGAAAAATGTGGTTTTGATTTTCAGTCGTATGCACAATTCATAATCAGTTTTTTGAAACTTGTTTTTTTTTGTACCAACCAAACAGTTTAAACATATTCTCGATTACTTTTTCAAAGGGACGTATCAGCTTTTGTAAACATTGCATTTGATAGTCGATTTGGTGTCCCTTCGAAAAATTAATCGAGATATTATTTTTTTAAACAAAAATATGTGATTGTCATCGAATTCATTGAAACAAATGAGAATTGAGCGAGGATTCTATCGGTGATTTCGACGCTATTGCTATTATTGTCGATGATGAACAAAAAAAGAATGGTTTTGCAGTATGAGTGTACTTATTACAGTACTAATCCGACACATTTGATAATCTGACTGTCAAGTCCATACAAATAAATGTTACCAAAGTAAAAAAAGTTCCATAACAGACCGTGATGTTGAATTAAGGAGAGCCGGAGTGGAGAGATACTGTATACACAGCTAGTACTGCAAAATGTTCAATTTGATGTACTAGCTTAAAAGTGTACAGTGGAGAACTTTGCACGTCTTTCGAAGGCCTTAAATGCATTAAAGATAAATTTGTAATTTATCATGCAATTTGACTAATTTCCTATTTCAGCAGTTTTAAAGTAAACATTTTTTACGGGCACAGGACAAGCCATCATTGCACAGCTATGCTCAAAGCAATAATCTGAAGGATAATCAAACTCAAGAGCAAAAAATAACTGAAGAAACCAAAGTATTATTGCCATTCGATGATATAAGAAGATGGTTCAATTTGTATTGATTTGTTTCATTTCACCACTAAAATCATAAATTAGCTCTTTTCATATGGCATTCTTGTCTGTTGTTTGACATCCACACATAGTGAAACAAAAAGTTGGTTTTCCATAGAGGAATACCGTTGCGGTGGTGAAGGACAATCCCTTTGTTTACGTCGTGTGGCGACATCTACTATTTGCAAGTGGGTACGTGAAACTAAGGTTATCTGTCACCTTGCCGGGGACTTGCTGTGACTTTACCGACTGAGCTAAGGGAGGCCCCTGCTGGAAAATTCAGCAGCATTATTTTGCTGGAAAGTTTGCTGCTACCTATTTCATCAAGTCTAAAATCAGCTAAATTTTCAGTTTCAGCGATTTAAATTTGGTGTGTAGGTTAATCTGTTTCGCGATTATTGTGACGAAATACTATCAAAAGGTAACTTTGGAGAGGGAACCTTTCGATTCGGGACGTGGCCAAGAAGGTCAATTCTTCCGTCTGGTTCGTCCAACACAACTTCCGCACCAGGAAGTTGTACCGCGAGTGGTTGGTGCATCCTAAATGCATCGTAATGGACGACGAGACGTACATTAAAGCGAACTCCACGCAGATCCCTGGCCTGGAGTTTTTTGTCGGCAAGTCCCGCTTGGATGTTCCGGAGAAGTTCCAGAAGAAGATGGTCGACAAATTCGCGAAGTACTTGTGTGATAGGCGATCTGTGGGTGCGGCAAATTCAGCAAGCTATACATAACGACCGGCCAAATGGTCAAATATATAAAGAAGAATGCCTCCAGAAGCGCCTACTGTCCTTCCTCCGGTCCCACGAAGGTAACACTTTGTTTTGGCCGGATCTGGCATCGTGTCATTTCGCAAAACTGGTGATGGTACGAAGCCAAAGATATTGTTTTTGTGCCGAAGGAGGCAAATCCGCCAAACTCGCCAGAACTTCGCCCAATAGAAAAATTCTAGGCGATTATGAAGGGCAAGCTCCGGAAAACAGGGAAGGTCTTCAAAAACGACAAAGATTTGAAGGAAGAGTGGTTGAAAGTGTGTAAGAAATATGGCACAAGTGTTGCACAGGATCTGAGACTGACATATACGAGCGTCAATTTTGACAAAAAATTGAGTCATAATAGACGTGAAATTCAGTTCAATCAAACGTACTTTTGAACATTTCAGTCTCGGAGCACTTAATTTTACATGACTTGTTTGTTTATGTCTCATCCTTTATGTCAAAGATGGATTCCGTCACGTGTAAGATTAGGTATATCTAAGTTACTAGGGGTGGAGGTTGAATAAACCATCTTTGCAAAAACATAGCTAATATGTGTTTATTTATTCCCTGAGAGTTTCAAAAATATCCGACATAACATGAATATTTGGTGATCATTTCTTATCTGTTGCATTTTTTTTTTTCGATTACAATCTTTAGATATGGAAGAGACTATCAAGTTAAGGTTGATACAATTTTTATGCCACGCTGTAAGGGGGAGGAGGAGTGTACATTTATGTGACGAGCAATGTATTAGGTATAGGAAAACCGTGATTAAAGGGGAGAGGGGGCTATATTTTTTCTCAATTTCAAGTGACATATTTAATGCATGGCCCCTTAGGTAGGTAAATTTTGGAAAAGTCGTCTAAGTAGCCAGTATTTCTATCGAGCTAGGGAGAGAGGAAGGGGAGAAAACATTAACTGTATATGCTTCTTTCGAGAAATGTTATGATAGTTCTCACAATAGACTTTAGCGATGGATTAACTTCTTTTTCCAGAATCAATAATCTATTACAAAACCTTAACTAGATGATTTTCAAGGTATAATATATATGTAGGTGCAAGTCAGAATATTTCAGAAAGTTAACTAACATTGTTTATTTTTTAGTTATTTTAATAGCCTTCCGTCGACAACTGCTGTGAGCAGTTTTCTATAAGCTTGAAAGTGTCATTTTAGATACAAAGTAAACTTTAAAAACATTTTTTACAACACTCAAACTGAATGCCAGAGAACGCTCGCGCGAACCAATTATATATTCAGTAAAGGCTAGTCGCAAATTTTCCCGAGCTATCCGAGTTACCGTAGTGGAACGGCACGGAAGGAAATGAAAAGTAGCTGTGGAAACGCGGACCGTGAGATGGGCCGAAAAGCGACACGATAGATTTAAGACTTTTGTTTTTCTCGCACTCGAGAGTGGAACTGGCTTTCCCTCTTCAGTTTTATACTCAGCACGGTCCCCGACGGGTGGTGTCACGAGTTTTCGTCGCGTAGGAAAATTAAACCTTCGTGGAAAAATATCTACTGTGTTGTGAAGTGCACTACTATACGGTGGGTTTCAAATAGTGCAGTAATCGAAAGGAAGTTTGCTGCATTCTCAATCGGATCGCCCAGATGGACACGGGAGCAATTAAGAATGACACGGCAAATTTATAGCATCTGGTTCACTTCACTAAAATACGATGTAGCGAAAATTTGACAATCAACTGTCTTGTTTGCGGTGTCGAGTTTTGTTATTTCAACGTATCGTATGTTGAAGAGTAAAATTAGCCCTAACAGTGGGTTGCCACCTAGCGTTGTAGAACTGTGAGAAGAAAAGTTAATTGACTGTTTGACAAGGCATCGAATAGAGGCATGACGGAGTGTGCGGGATCTGAAGTAGAACAGAGTGTGGATATCGGTCTTTTTTTGATACTGTGATTGCACGCCATTGAGGCTAAATTTGTTTCAATTTTACCGAGTCGAGAGTGATCGTACGGACAGAAAATAATCCATTTGAATCAACGAAAATAAATCGGTGATGATTGAAGTTCAGTGCACTTTGAAATACTTTCAAATGGAATACAGAAATGAACCGATTTTGCCAGTCTCCTTTTTGAAAATAATTTCCAGTGTTCTACGAAGTGATCTCATTGGACCAAAGTATCCCTTAAACATTCATCTATAAGAATTATGAGGAAGGTTTGGAATTACTATCATGTGAAATTATTGAAAGATAAAAGTCTGATGCGCAGAGGGGCAGACCGAATTAGGTCATTTCTGTAAAACAATTTTAGCCAAATTTTCGCTCTCGAAAAAATTACTTACTATTTCATCTTTGAGTGGTGATAGCCGTATTAAAATTTATATATTTATATAACATCTGATGTGATTGATTACAATCTTATGGGTTGTGCAAGTATCCAGGTATCCAAATCTCAACATATCGTAACGTACTATGGTTGTTTACTGTGAGTTTTTCGAAGGGTAGTTAATTTGAAAAACCGCCTAGACGAGAGATAGCGTTTTCAAATGAATAATTTATTTGAGAAAGCGCATTATTCACATATTTATCGAAAACTTTTAGCAGTACACATCTCCTGCAAATATCAGAACAGTTGGGATCGAGAAACTATTTAAAATTAGGGCCCAGTATGTAAATTTGTTGAGCAACCACATAGGACCTCGGTTCGGTTTTATGCTGTTTTCCAGCAGTTATATCAAATGGACTTATGCGGTTTATCAAATAAAATGTTCTGATGTTCATTGAAAGTGTTGAAACATGTTCCTGCAACAATTTTCATGCACAACCAGTATTGGAAAAGTTCGCGATATTTCACGAGTTCACCAAGGGAAAAGTTCGCGAGTCATAGTGAGTTTTCGTGAACTTTTCCATCACTGTGCACAACACAACTCCACAAGCATCCGATTGATAGATATTTTCCGAGATCGTGGGATTATACCCTAATTTACCTTATGGGGCCAGTACACATTACAATCTTGTTATACAACCGCTTTGGATTTACCATATAATGCTCGCAAAAAATATGAGCTATAGTTGGCATAAACAATGAAATTGTTTACAGACTACAACAATGCTGATTTATGCGACATCACGCTTAAATTTACATGAAATATTATGTAAATTTGTTCCAATTTTAGCGTTGTGTGAGATAGGGTTAGTGAACCAGTTTTTGGCCCAAGAGGTTCCATAATCGGCCCTATCTTAATTTTCAATATTTTTAATTGTTTTCCAAATTTATTTCGATGCAAGGTAAGCCAAATTTTGTGACATGTCCACGCGATTGAAACCATGAACATTTATTTCAAATTTGAGTTAGGCCACACGAGTGGAACTTCGGATCAAAAAGTGGCTTCACTTGCCAATTGCGAACACTAGCGCACCTAGCGGTAGAAGGCATCTTCTGCCTGCAGTTAAGATAGGCAGCATACTATGATAGTGTGAGTGCACATAGAAAGCCCGTGTGGAACGCTACCACAACACATAGCTTGTTGAGCAGGAAAACGAATCACGTTTTGATTCATCGATTTGTTTGCACTTCCCCTTCTGTTCTGTGGTTAGGCCCTAGGATAAAAAAAACTAGAGCACTAGTGTCATAGCTGTATCACTAACCATATATATCGCCTAAATTTACTACTTATTTTTTAAACGATGTGGTTGTACCATACATTACATGGTAAACCTATAGCGGTAGTACAACCAGATTGCAGTGTGTGTTGCCTCCGTTAACATCGTGACGACTACTTAGATGCATTAACTACGTGGACCCATAGGGAGGAGGGGTTGGCAAGTTTCCAAGAATCCAAATGTCTACGCAGGGGGTGTATGTATGATATATTTTTCACAGAAAGACAGACTACCTACTTATCTACAAGTCGTTGGGCACTTTCACAGGAATAAAGTTATTGATCTTTTTTTTTAATTGGCGGTTTTCACGTCAACTACACAGAAAAAAATCTGAATTTTAACTATCGCATAAAATCTCCCTTCGTTTAATTTTGAGCTATAACTTTGCATAAACAGCGAAATCGTTTACAAGCTTGCATACAATATTGCTAATTTATGCGATATTCCGCTTAAATTTACACAAAATATCGCGTAAATTTATGCCAAATCTAGTGTTAATTTTATGTGCACTATATCTCACAGAAATTTACTTGAATTTTTCAAACGGTGTAGAGTATGGGCTTGGCTGCACCCTCTCAGATGTCAATGAAACTTGGTAGGTGTGATGATTTTGCGGCAAAATTTGCTGAGATTAGGCAAATAAAACTAAATGTGTGGGATAACAATAGACCGAAATTTATCTGCAATCCAATGAAACGCTTGTTTCATTGACAAATCACAACTATTTTATGTTACGACGAGATGTACGGTATTTTAGCTGTTGGATTTTAATCACCATGATTTAAGTTTTAATTTACCTATAAGTTTAAGCTCCACATTGTAAGTGTTAGCGTCTTTGTTTCGAGGATTGTAGAAAAATAATGGCAGGTACTGTTCGTGAGAGTTGTGCAGTTTTCTCCGTTGTCAAACTCCCTAGTAGGCAACCCAAGTAACAATTTGGCAGCCTTTTGACTTTCACAATGATTTATTGTTGATTTATAATGACAATAAGCAATCTTTTTAGTTTAAATACAGCATTTAAAAGTGCAACATATTCTTGGTCTGTAATTCAGCATTTTGCCGTTTTAAAAACCTTTTAAAGTCGGAAGATAAAGTCAAAACAGGTCTGGTTTTAACAATAAATATAAAGCAGCACTCTATCCCTGTATAAAACTGTTAAGTTAGTTTATCATAAACCTGCTCGGTATTGTTTTATTGATGCCACGACAAAATACTCCATAGAGGTATTTTATCATTATATGAGCAATTATAAAACCGTTCGGTTTCAAACGGGAGCAAAAAGCATATATTGCTGCTTTTCGGTGTCAATAAAGTGTATCACAAAACTCCCTACTGTTTACAAATTAAACTAAAAATATGGATCCACCTAGAGACAGAGAAAAAATAAATCGATTGGAGCTTTTAAACGAAGAATCACAAGGAAATGCCAAAGGATAGTCTAATAATAATACTAGCGGAAATGAAAAGCCCTCCAATTCCAGAACTTCTTGGGAGGCCCAGCAGCTCTGACTAAACCGGTCAACAATGACAGAACAGCCGACTGAGAAAAGTGAGTAAATGCGGTTCACGAAGCACTGGAAGCCGTCAAATTAGACGATTACAATCGATGGGAATACCCAAAATATTGTCAATGGCGTTTGTGACACGATCTGAATAAACACAGACCAATCTTCTCCAGAAATCGTGTTTCGATGATGATTCAAATAACATGCATCAGTGTTAAACTGGGACTGCGGAAAACTGCCGACAGGAAACTTCAGAAACTGTCAGTCAGCTGGAAACTGACTGCCTACCGAACCATTGGAGTGGCTTCATTCGGCGAAAGGGTCAACTGTTCCAAAAAATCCAAGCAAGCGCACATTATCGGATCATCCGATTTTGGGAACGATTGACCTTCCACCTGTTCCAAGTTATGCAGATATACTTCCTGATGAACTGCTTCCAATGGATGATAATCGCCCTTATCGAGGATGCCACGGAACTTGTTGATCCAACGCAGAAGTAGAAGCTCGGTGCAATGATCGCGCAACAAAACTATCGAAATGTAAACAAATTTTGACGGTTAACTTTTTCCACGAACCATTAATGCCGTCTTAAAACTAAAGGGAATAGGATCAATCAAAATGGCCTCCGATAAATACAATTCAGTCTGCAAATTATCTTCATTAAAGCCAAATTAAAACGTTTAGAATTTGTTCGCGATTTCATGAAAGCAAAATATCTTTTTCCGAATTGGCTTATGGAAATTCAATTTTAAAGCCACCGCCATATTACTATTATAACATTTGTTTTTTCTACTATCTTCGTTTAATAAGATGTTTTTCCATGAAAATAACTTTAATCTCATAAATTCAACAATGAGCAGTAATAGAGATTCCGAAAATCATTAAATTATCTCGGCTGGACGCAATGATTGAAATAAAACATAACCATACGTTGTTTCTTAAATTAAAATTAATAAGTTTAATCAACGATTTCAGAAGGCGGACTTATTTTTTTCGATATTTCGAAGCACATTAGATTTAATCTGACACCTAAAAAAAAGGCCACAAAATGAGAACTGCTTTGATAATTTTTGTAATTCTTTCACAATAGATCAGGAAATTTAAGAAGATTTTTAAAATATTCATTTTTGAACAATGCATTTGGCAAGATCTGATGATATTAATGTATCCCTTTTTATCTTGATTGATGCTTTATTTCCAATGCGGTTGGCAAGCGTCAAAGACAAATGGCACAAGTGTTGATGCCAAATGGCTTTTACTGTAGTTTTGAAATGGATTTCAAATGGTTTTCAATGCTTTCGTCGTATTACCTTTTTGCAGCACATCAATCTTGACGTGCCTCGAATATATGCCCTTCAAAACCTTCTTCGGGGTGGACCAAATATACAGATTCTAGCCTTAATGAGGTTTTGGTGGATGTAATAAAGGCAAAGCCGTCTTGACCAGGGTTTTATGAATGTTGTTTTATATTGGCCTTGTAGTATTTCATAAAACGTAAAATATTACTTGGGAAAGATAGGACAGCTTAACGTAGAACGCAACAATCCACACCACCGAAAGTTGCAAAACCCGCCACCAGATGGACGAACAACTGCCTGTTGGGAGGCCGTAAGGGATGGCGATAGAGATGGCCATTTTGAATGGAGGATAACGGACACGACAAACTGGCGATGAACGACGAAAGGCCCAGGTCACTGGCCGACAGCCTGAAGCAGGGACCCGACTCACTCATTTTTCAAATTAATAATGACTGATCGTAAGACCACCAGCGAAAACGGTTGATCAAACAAGCAAGCTAGCTAAATTTTATTTTAATAGTGAACCAACGTGAAACCATAAATTAGTAGTGGAAAAAGTGAAAAGTGTGAGGAGAGAGTCAAGGACAGCAGGACCCCGCTGTATTTAGTACAGATCACCTGTACACAGTGAAGCTCCGGTAGGCGTACCGGAAGGAAGGTTACACAGTCGCTGGTGCTCGTCATCGCCACCCCGTACAGCAAGCGCGCGAATGAGGTACATGACGAGGAAGTGGAGAGGAAGCGAACGTCGACCGAGGACAAGTGGTCGACGATGAAAGACACGTGGTGGAGGTGTTGCGAGGGGCTCCGACGAAGAAAATAGGTCAGATAGATTGTAAGAAAATGGGAGAAGAAGGGAGTAATTAAAGAAACAAAAGAAGGAGAATAAAAGATGTCAGGAAAGTGAAATAGATCTTTAAACTAGAGTAGTGAAGTGCTTGTGGAGGTTTATCTGTGTGTCACGTGCGATCATTCCCTGCCCCGCGTAATTGCAATCGGTAAGCGTGCGGACCCTGAGGCCATTGGAGACAGTGAATCTCAGAAGTGCTCCTGACTGAGGTAGCTGACACTTACAACATAGACCTCGTTTAATTAGGACAGTTCATCGAATACATCTTAAAACCTATGAACTACACGACCGATTAAACCAACTCAAATTTGAGTATAATTCACTCAAATTCCCATAAACGTAGGTTACTTATAGACTGAGCAAAATATCCTAGATTTGCCAGGAAAATCTTTTCGAATATTAAGAAAATCGAGTGAATTTTCACTCAGTCTATTGGTATACTCCTACACTGAGTAAAATTTTCGTCGATTTTCCTCATATTTAAGCGGATTTTTGATGAAAAGCGAATCTATGAGTAACCTAAGTTTTTGCGATTTTGAAACAAAACCCTCCAAATTTTGAGTCGATCTCATCGGCCGTTGTACTTCTTTAAGCTAGTACGTCAATTGTGGTACTAGAATACAATGTTAGTTCAATCATGTATGTCCTGGTTATAAGCTGTTGCACATACAATAAACGTCACTCAAACAAAGAGTATTTTTCCTAGATTTGTTTTCCATCACTATTGTTATCCGTACTCGGTACCAATGCTACCAACGCAGGTCCCACTCATAGACAAGGAGGCAGGTCCCACTGATGGACCGCGGACCAACGGCTTTACTTCGCTTCCGAAGGAAGACGTGATCAGATATGTTTTGCCTCAGACAATCCCGACGGTACCGACTGAGATTCAACCTAGGCCCTTTAGATTGAGAGACAGTCACGCTTACCAGTACACCACCAGTGCCGCTAAAACAAAGAGATCTGGAGACACATTATTACACGTACACGAACATTTTTTCCATATACAAAATGCACATATATATTCAAAAGCGAATATCTCAATAAAACTAACTGGATTGATGATGCAATTTTCAGCTAAGTTGTTACTCGTTAAGTGAACAACAAGTTTTGAAAATCTGAATCAAATCGAGAATAAGGAAACTTTTTAATGATCGATAGAGTGTACGAGTGTCATTTTTTCATGTATTTTATCAAAATTCCCCATTCAAAATTCAAACTAAATGCGCCAGCTCATCTTACAACCAAATGAGCTGAAACTTTCGCATAATGGTTTTCTCACCTAAAGGAACAAATCTAGGGGGTTTTCGGTGGAAAGTTAGAACTTTTATGGTGTGGACCAGTGTAATCTATATCATAGTATGTCTTGGGGTCTTTAATTTTTTGTAGATAATGCTTTGGTTACACAAAAATCTTCATACATTTTTTATAATATTTTTTTTATTATTATTATTAGACATAATATTTTGAAGTATCCATAGCTAATATTTGCCTATGGATCTAAGATTGGGCACATCGCTAAAAATCTGCTATTTATCAATTTTATCTGAATGAACGCGTAATTGGGACGGTACTAATGGATATTTTTGGTCGCTATTGAAAATTTAGTCGATTGCTGATTGCTTCAGGAGGAAACCAAGTTGTAATTTCTTAAGCAATATGAAAAAAAAACTTTTCATATGTAGCTTTGCGAGCATTGTTTGGGGGAAAATACACATGTAAGAATCTGTTTAGAAAACGGAATGGGAATCAGATCAAAACCCTATCACTTTGATTCTATTTGTAATCCCTGGGTCAAGATAGCATAGCCGATAGATAACAACTCAATAATCGCAAAGATCCAGAGGAAACTGAGCTAAATCCATAAGACCCGAAATACTCACACCAAAGACACGAATTGTATTTCCAACCATGACCTATCAGAACCGTTAGTAATGACGAAGCAAGCTGGGATCAGCATTTCAAAGCAGCAGGTTTCACGTGTGAAGTGTTTCAATTATCGACACCTTCAGCGTGAGCCAAAAGCATACAAGATTAGCATACCTACCTATGTATCTACCGGCACCGGATCTGTGGTGCTGCACAGAGAGGTGTGAAAGAATAGGCAATAAGTGAAAAGAAAAACACCACGCGTCTCCATTCATAAATCACCAAGCCATTCACTGGCGGCACGCTCGCTCACGCGGTGTGTGAAATTTCAAGACGCTGTTTGTGTGAAACTGTTTACAATCAAATTATTATAGCATTTCCTAGTGATGATGCTAGAGCAAAGTAAAACTGACATCACGTGCAAATCTCGCCGAGAATGACTCGCATTTTCCTCTGACTGTGAATGAAGCTATTTGTGTATCTCTTCGAAATTAACTAGTACATCTTTCTTCTCATTACACAGGATTGGGTCAACAATGCCTTCCAACTTTAAGAAAAAGGTAAGAATCTAATGAAGTTATTTACGGTTTAGGTGTGAAAATTAAGCTAATGGAAAACGTACAAACTACATCTGAAGCCATTTATTAAACCATGAATTTTTGAAATCGAATCACCCGTATCTTATTTGCTTATCGATAGACACACACACGTTTTCGTCACTAGGCAATGGGAACCATTTGCATACGACAATACTGCAGCAGGCAAATCCTATTACTCGAAAAGTTCCAAGTGTCCCCTTTTCAAAGTCCAAATCCAATATATTTCCATTCGATCCAGACTTCACTTGTAGAGCTACTGCAGAAAACTCCTCATCCATCGAGCTAAATTTATGCACAGCATGAGAGAGGCAGGCTAAACCGAAGTGAGTAAAAATCCATCCTTCGCTGCTGATGCAAATCTAATCAAGTTGTTCTCAATATGCATGGTTCTATTCTTGAATTATTTATCAATCAATTCCTTCTCTACTTCAGAAAACTGCTACCCTACTGCTCGAAGATGAATTCGATTTCAAGTATCATTTAGAGGTTAGTTATGGTACTGCAGATTCCCTTTTCCCATTTGGTACAACTATTCAGAATTCGAGCTGAGAAATGTTTTATGCTTGATAGCTATTGACGACTTTGGTTGCCACTGAGAGACTTCGTTTTTATTTCCATGGATGTGGATGTGAAAAGTGTTATGGGAATCATTTCTATAAATATTCTACCAAAACGATAACAGACACCGAATCTAGTGGCAAAATGTCGGCTTAGCTGTAAGCCCAATACACGTGCGCCTATTTTAAACCCATGGTTGAGGGAGGAATCATAAAATAAAACATAAATTCAAATTTTATTTCTCGTGACCGCTATACATGTCCTGCTTTGCCGCCTACTGAAGTAATTAAAACAATTTGGCCGGCTTCGAGTAACGTACATTTTGACACAGAACGCAGAACCTGTGCCAGTTGTGGGTATTCATAACGGAACGTTCCATCACAGCCCCGAGTCCAGCCCTGATTGAAACATTAACAGTTGGATGCGGTGTGTTCAGTGCACCCACCGGTGACGACGACGGGTGGGACAGTTATAATTGCACATAAGAAGCTGCTGTCCGAAATTTGGCACACGTTTTCAGCACTCAAGCGTTTCATCAAAGCAAAACGACAAATTATATTAGCTACGATATAACATGCTTGTGTTCATTTTGTAATCTACTCTTGCATGGTCACTGCTTTGCCGTTGTTGTAGGTTTCAACCGTACATGTGTAATCGCAAAGGTCCCACAAGTGTGTGCATATGGTGTTCGCGTATGTAGCCAAAACAAAATACGATGTGGGTTTTGCTAAATTTGTAAGGAATGCTGGGATATTAACAGCAAAATTAACACATGCAAACAAATGGCATGTGGGGGAGCATGTATAGTTGTTTTTTTTTTAAATCAAATGCCGAAAGCAAGTCGCAGCTGCGTGATTTTGGCGGTGGTTGGTTACATGATTTTTCTGTAGAGTGTAACCTAGGACCCCCCATATGTTATCGCACGATTGTGAGTACGCATGGTGCCTGGTGCAAATATCAAAACAATTACACCTTTGCAACACCACCTACTTATTATTCGTTCGGCCACAAGATTAATGATCCAAAAGGGTCGGGGCCATAGTTATTGGTGTCTTTGAGAATATTTTTTCACCATCATGCGAAGATGAACAAGTAGTGGAAGAACTATTTAACAATCTTGGATTCACAAAATTTAGCATGCATTAATTATTTAGATGGAAAACTTCCACTACCACACACCAATCAACCAACAATTTGAGCTGCAGAATAGTTTATACAGCCAAAAATTACCTTATACACCTAATGTTTGCCTGTGTAAGCTAATCTGCAGCTAAAATTGTTTGTTGAGCACGTTCCTATCACTGCCAAAAACAAATTTCACATAATTTGTTTGAAACGTGATATATTTTAAAACCACTCAATTTAAAGTTTAAATAACTGCAATAGCGTGATTCAAAGCCAAAATGTGTTTTTACAACATGGAATGTATCCATTCATGTTTCATAATGCAAAGCATAACAACATTATTGCTGTAGTAATTTTCACAATTTAATTTAATTAATTGATTCTAAAATCGAAGACAACAAGTCTATCATGTCTGTGGTAAGACGAGTCACGAGACAAGATGGGTCATCTACTTGATTTTTGTACTATTTTCGACATCAACAGGCTCAAATAAGCCTCAATGTAGCAAACAACGATGATATGTTTTATTGAACCTGTTGATTTTGACAAACAAATGAATTAATAAATGTATTAGCTGACTTATTTTTCCACGTAACCCATCTTGCCCCACCTTACCCTAAGGAATAATCTAAAAATGCGTCGGATACAATTGATAAACATAATAAATATAAGAAGCCTTAATCCGCTTTGTCAGGTATACCAAGGTGTGGATAATCACCAAGACTGGACTAGAAACAGAATTATTGAAGAAATTTCATTGATTTTTTTCACATAAATAACCTACCGTTAATCTTTCACTATACGAACACAGATGTACGCTTATTGGAATGCAAACACTATCGAGTCGCCAAATCTTCCTTATTTTTGACATGATTATAGTAATCATATTGACTGCAGTACTGTGCTCCAGGATATCAACTTCCACGCATGCATGGCATGCACAGTTGTACACAGCAACTGCTCATTTGTTAATAACTTTTCACTCATTTGTTGAATTTTTTTTTTAAGTAATTGATAGATTAGGATCATAGTTTACATACTACAGATATGCAACGAGTAGGTAAATCTTCTTATTCTTCTTCTTCCTCGCTTTTCAAGCTTATTGCGTATGGCATATTAGCTTTTTGCGTGCTCTCAACTTAGTGTTCTAGATGCACTTCCACAGTTATTAATTGAGATCTTTCGATGCCTGTACATTTTTGCATTAGTATAATTGTGTGGCAAGTACAATCATACCATAGAGGTAACTCTAAGACCACTGGGTCCCGAAGAAAATCATTATTATTTTTGGCTCACTCAGTACCAGAACAACGGTCCCAAGCAGTCCCAAGCTATTTCACTCACCCCTGCATGTTCTGCATGAGTCCACACACCCCTGATGTTATCTGTCAAACTTTCATAGCGAATCAAAACAAACATAGTGTAGGAATAAAATTTCAACTAGAATAGGGTACGTTAATCGTTTGCTTGGGACCAATAGGCTACTAAAGTGGTGAGCCAATTTAAAATCGTTAGTTTCGTATTGATTGTTGATCATACTCTATTGCCCAGGGAAGTCGAGAAATTTTCCAACCCGAAAAATTCCTTGACCGGACCGGGAATCGAACCCAGCCACCTCCAGCATGGTCTTGCTTTGTAGCTGTGCCTTTACCGACTGAGCTAAGGGAGGTCCTAGTAGGTAAATCTTAACATTTGAATAAACACCATTGAATTTTTACACTTAAAGTCCGAGATGTGCAGCGAACATTTATCACTTCATTTTTACAACGCAAGAACAAATACAGTTTATTACTCGAATTAAAATCTACTTGTTTATGTATCTATAACAAGCTAAAACCATAGAGGTAACTCTAAGACTTGAAGGTCCCGAAATAACGTGCTCAAATTTTTGGCTCAGCTCTGGTACTCTCTTCGGTCCCAAAGTAATCGATTCACCCCTCGAAACATAGGAAAATCCAATAACCCCTCATTTTATCTGTCAAACTTCCATAGCGAATCAAAACAAACATTGTGTAGTAGTAGAATTTCGACTACAATGGGGTACGTTAATCGTTTGCTTGGGACCAATAGGCTAGTCAAGTAGTGAGCCAATTTAAAATCGTTAGTTTCGTATTGATTGTTGCTAAAACTCTATTATATGTACTGCTATAAAAACAAACTCTGTTTCGTCAATTGTGTGCAAAGTTATAGTTAGAGATGGAGATGAACTAGCCTACGGCTAAACATCTCCTAAATAAAGGAAGAAAAAAAACAAAGTTATTAGCAAATGAGCAGTTCGTGACCAAAACTGTGTATCCTAAGCATGCTTCCACATTCCAGTCCATCGTCTTCGCAATACGTAGGGTAATTGATTCTGGTTGGACCTATCCAAAAACTGATGATGGTTGGACCTATTTTTTTAATCGCTAGTTTAGTCAATCTTCGCTTATTTTTTTTATTTTCAAAGATCACTTTATTATCATAAAAACTCTTTTTCTTCAATTTGCATGGGTATTTTATTGAAAAAACTTCAAAACAATTGAGTTTCAATGTGTTTTCAAACAGTTCACTTTCCACGCATTAGCTCGTCATCATGCCTTGCTTTCAAACATTCAAAAAAGGAATATTTTTACATTAATTTTTATTTTCATGCAGTAAAATACTTCTTTAAGGTGTAAACAACACGTTAGTACGCCATTTATCCATTGGTTTCACTAAAATGTTTGAATAATTGACGAAATTCGAATAGATAAATATGATCATGGTTGGACCTACGCATGATGATGGTTGGACCTATGTGTTTCCTAAGACGGCCGCTAGGTGCGCTTCGGTTTATCTACATCCTTCATGCGCAGCTGATTTGAAATTCGATTTCGTTTTGACCGAGTGATCAGTTTCTTCGATTGAAAAAAATGGCTAAAGAAAAGAGTTATACGGTCGAAAATCTTCAAGAGGCTGTTCTTTTATTAAAAAATAAATCACTTACCGCGTATCAGGCACAGAAAAGGTACAATATTCCGAAAACGACACATCACGCAAAAATTAAGGGAAGCCACGGCAAGAAATATGGAACGGAAATAGTGTTAAGTGTTGATTTGGAGAACCAGCTAAGGATTGGGTTTGTATGTGCGCTGCTTCTGGCAGTCCCAAGACGACCAAAAAGATCTTGGAAGCTGCTAAAGACCTTGCGTCACTAGTTGGGCGTAAATTTAAAGGAGTAACCACCGATTTCTGAACTACCACGAAAGCACCAAAAGAATCTGTTAATATGAATTTACATTAAGCACTTCTCATACACC